ACTGCCTCTTACTCACTCCAACTTAGGAACATTCCCTTTGCATGAGCTCACTGTCTCCCCCGGGACACAGCCTTCGGGGAGGGGGCTCTGCTCTCCCTTCCCTCCATGCAGGGTTGGGTGGGGCTGCTGGGTATGGGGGGCAGATGGCCTCAGTTTCTTCACCCTTATATGGGGGTAGGAATAGCCATGGCCCCCATCCCAGAGCTCACTGGTTCCCAGGTGCTGTACTGAGTGCCTCCCAGGGACCAGCTCTGGGAACTCAGCACCTGGTACTCATAAAAGGGGAAACAGACCAAGAGTGGGGATGTTACTTGCCTGATGTCTCCCAATAAGTGGCAGGTAGGACATTCTAATGACCTGTCTGCCTAAGCCAGACTCAGGGAAGATCTGAGGCCCTTGCTGGAGGTCCTGGGACCAGCCACTTAGCCCTGCCTCTCTGTGGTGTCAGGACCCAGATGGTCCAGGTTCCAATTCTGGCTCTGCCACTTACAAACTGTGTGACCCAGTGCCTCAGTTTCCCCATCTGGAAAACAGGCATGATAAGAGTTCCCACACCATTGGGCTGTAATATGGATTCAGGGAGGTAAGAGGTAGACACTAAGCGCTCAATAAATGTAAGTCATTGTGACTATTGATCATAATTGTGAGAGTCACATCTGCTCTGCTGACCTCTTGATTGCCCTCAGGCCCTTTGGGCCTGGGGGAGGGGGAGCCCCAAGCCCTCCAGGATTCAATCTGCAGCGGCCTCTGGTCATCACTCTCCACCTCCCAGCTGCCACCTCTGCTGCGACCCCCAACATTCCCCCATCCGCATTCCCGGCAGGCCCACGTGGGTGGCCCACCCCACCCGCCTCTTCCGGCCACCCCACTCACCCGGCGAGGGGTCCCCTGAGCCCACGGAGCCCACGAAACCCACGGCCCAAGCCAGGGCCCCCCAGGGCAGTGGCCACAGTGGCCTGGGCGCACCGGGACGCATGGTGAACAGCAGACAGCGGCGGCAGCAGTGACCCCGCGTCGGGCTCGGACGTGCGGGCGGGCAGCAGGGAGGGCGGCGGCGCCGACTTCCCAGTGCTCTGCGGCCGGCGCTCCCTATAAAGGTCCCGGGCTGCGGGCGGGGCCGGGCCGGGGCGGGGCGGGGCGCGTGAATGGCGGGG